GGAGAAGAGCTTCACTGCAGGAAAAAAAAAAATCACTTCCTTTTCTCCCTGGCACTGAATGCATGGATTAAGCCTGGAAGTGCTACCCGTAGCACAGCCCAACACAAAGCCTTCTCCCAGGCCTAGTGCATGAATCTGAGAACCATCACTGAAAACTCCAGGTAACCAACACAGGGAATTTCTTTCCTTGACATCCATCGTGCCAGCAGAGCAATGAATCTTCTTCCTGGCTGTGAGAGTGAGCTTTTGTTTCTACTTTTCATAAAATTCAAGTGTTGGAATGACAGGAGTTGAAGAGAAACGGGAAAGGGCCTAAGTCACGACTGTTTGGACCTTGCTGAAACAAGTCTTAAATGAAAACAAAATCATTAAATATTAAGTCTACCAAAGGATATGACTGTTGATAGACAGTTAGGTCTAGTATGTAAGATCTTTCCAAGGCCTCTATACCAAGAATATAGTATTTAAAGCTAAACTAAAGGTACAGGTACCTCAAGAGTAGAGTGACATGAGGGAGAAAAGAACCACCACAGAGCCTCAATGCATTCCAGATTCCCAAGGGAATTCCTAGTTACAAAGAAAACAACATGTCCCTCGGTGGTCGATAAGACTTGGGGACATCACCTTTCCTTAGGAAACTGCACTATAAAATTACTCTCATTCACCAAAGCGTGTATTTACAAAATACAGCTCTAGGCCAGGCACTACTGGCCTAGAAGGTAGTGGATATACCCTCCACCTTCTGGGCAGAAGGCATGAGTGCAGTCCAAGCTGCTGGTGGTCCTGGGCACTCACGTTTCTCCTGAACGTAGAGGTAACCTTCCATGGTGTAGGGACTGATAGTCTTGTGCTCAAGGGGATTCTCCTTCATCTTTTTCATCAGTGATTCCACTTCTGACCTGGTGCCTTCAAAGCGATTTCTTGTCTAGGATGAAAAGAATTTTATTCAAATCAAAGAAATAAAACCCTATTCCCATCTCTAACAATTCAGAACCTCAACCAATAGAATCGTTACATCTAAAATCAGATAATTTAGTTCTACAGTCAGCCATCTAAGAATTAGGCAAATAGTCAAGAGGTATACTTTGCTCTAACGTCTTATACAAGAATGTCTCGAACTCTAGGGACCATGAAAATCACCTGAGGAACTTGGAGAAAATGCAGATGCCCAGGCCTCATCCCTAAAGATGCATTGAGTACCTTTGGACACAGAAATGTGCATTGAAACAGCATCCCAGGGGATTCTGAGTCAGATGGTCTACAGGAAGGTACATGACCCTGCCCTCCCTCCAGACAGAGGGATTCATTTCTCCAGCAGCAGGGAGTGTTGCCTGTGATGGCTCAGATGGTGCCCTCCTCCAAATGCAGCTGCTTCACTGAGGGTTACTCCTTCCCTAGGGCAGCCTGTACCCACCCAGTGACTAGTCTAGGGACAAAAGTCGAAAGAGTCAAAAGCCTGCCCCCCTTGCTTCTATTCTGGCCACTGTGAAGGACATCCCTACTTCAGGGTGCCCATGGCATTGACTGAGGCCTCTGTTGAAACTGTATCACAGCTTAACTTCTGCACGGGCCTTATTCTCTCACAGGTGTTTCTTCCAACAGTGCTCCCTGTAAACCTGCTATGTGTAAATCTCCACTTCAGAGCTGGCCTTCTAAGGAAGCGGGCAAAAGGGAAACACATTTTGTAAAACCTTTTCTGAAACTCAACTTCCTGTTCTCTCAGAAGACATAGAGAACCATGTCAGGGCAAACTGCAGGCTTCTAAAAGCCATGCAAGATAGCCCACATGGATGCACTTGGTTTCTTTTCTATACAAGATCATCTAGAGACGAAGACAAGATGCAGACTAACATGGCCCATTCACACAATGAAGAAGGGGGCTCGAGCCCTACTAACCACTAACCAAAGAGCCCTAGGCAGGATTCTGAGCACCAAAAGGTCATGCTGTTTAAAATGTGGGAAAGGAGATTAGGAGTAAACCACACCGACCTGGACTTCCTGTCAGCCTTACTAACAGTTGAACAAGAGCACATCCTTTGAGCTGGAGGCCAGCATGTGTGTGCCGCCCCCATCCCCTGAACATATATTCTAAGGTCTCATGTGGCTAGGCAGCTAAGATGCACAGAAGGAGAGCTGGGCTGGGCGGAGCAGGGCTGGGCTGGGGTGGGACTTCCACTGCCAAAGGAAATCCTGACCCTGGTGCTACAGATTTAAAACATAATCAGCAGTAGCACTTCTGACAACATAAATAAGTGCTTTAAAATAATGGAGGAGAGGACCTGGGACCACCAGGCACCCTAGAAATGTCTGCCCCCGACTGCCCTTCGAACCCAGGCAAGACCCATTCTCCTCGCCTATATTCCGACCCAGATACGTGAGCTCTGCTCAACCAGACACGTATTTTGTTTTTTCCTTTCCTTAACCAGAGAAAGGAAGTCTGTCATTTTGCCTACTCACGTTCTGTATGCTAATGGTCAGCTGCGTCTTGAAGTCGCCGAAATCCTTGGCCAGTTCATAACCGTGGTGATAGAAAGTGAAGAGTCCTTGCAAGAATGCCAGTAGCTATAATGAAGGTAGAAAGGGAGAGTTCACATAAGCAGGTGAAACAGGTATTTTGTAGCTGTGCATGAGCTCCCAAGTATAGTCTGAAAGTCTACAATAAAGTAACGATAATAGCTATTACTCACTGAGCACTATTTGTATGCCAGGCACTGAAACTTTGTATGTCCTATCTCACTGAACACTCATAACAACCTGAGGTAAATAATACTGTTATCTTCACTTTGATAATGAGGAAGCAGATTCAGAGTGGTCAAGTAACTTGCTCCAAAACACACAGTAACTGGCAGCCACGTTTTGAAACCAGATCTCCTTGACACCAACACCTGAGTTCTGACCCTGTGAACTTCACCGCCTCCCAAGAAAATCATTTTCTCAGAAATTAAAGTCAGGACTCCAACTTAGTCTCCTTCTAGTATTTGTATATCAGCTTGTCGTGCAGAATGGTGTGGTTATATTGATAACCAACAAGGAAGAGAGAAAAGGAAGCTGGTGTGTCCTGAGTCTGCAGTCTAACAAGCAAAGTGAAATCAAATAAAATCATCTAGGTCAGCTTCGGCTCAAATGTGTTTCTGTGCTTTCCCTAAACTGCAAAAGAAAACACTATAGATTCCTTTATTAAAATATTCCCATGTTCCCACATTTTCAGTTACAACGGATTCCCTAAATTCCCATTTAAATTGCCTCAGGCTAAAGGTAAGCCTGGTTCATTGTTTAGTCTTGTCTTTAGTGAAGAGTGAAAACATCTGTTCATCAAAATTCTTACAACATGCCTTCATATACTTAAAAACTATTAATGTTCCTGTCCTGGGCCCCTGCCAGCCTTCCATTCTCCAAGCTAAATAAACCTTCCCGCAGTCTTCCCTCTCAGAACCTATATGCAAACCTCACTATTGTTATGCTGCCCTGGCCCCATCCCAAGCTCTACATTATCTTGCCTCAGTTCCAAATCTCAACCTGAAAAAGGGCACAGAGAAACACACAGAGGGAAGACAGTCATGTGAAGACGAGGGACAGGAGTGATGAATCTACAAGGCAAAGAATGCCAATACTGCCAGCAAACCACCAGAAGCTGGGAAGAAGAAAAGAAGGATAACTTCCCTACAGGTTTCAGAGGGAGCATGGCCCTGCTGACACACTGATCTTGGACTTCTGGCCTCTAAAACTATGAAACGAGAAATTGCTGTTGCTCTAAGATTTTTATGGTACTTTATTACAACAGCCCTAGCAAACTAACATAGCTATCAAGAAGTATTCATTCATGCAACAAAAGGAAGGACAAACAGTAGTGATGGAAAGCTGGGCCAGGTAAGCCATGTAACTGCCTTTAACTCATCTTTTGCAGGAGAATAATAATGCTACCCACTGCTGTACTGGATTCTGGTAAAGACCGAGATCATCTACGAAATGGGCCTAGCACAGGAGTGCCAGCAGGAGTTGCTCAGCAACAGAGATATGATTAGTCTAATGTGTTAGAAGTTACACTGTGGTGGCAGGGTCTAGGCCAGGCTGGAGAAGGGGGTGGTGCCCAGGACAGAATGCAACAAGCCAAAGGGAAAGAATGAAGACCTGCAATGGGGCAGAAGCAATGAGAAAGAACAGGAAGGAACGGCACCAGAGAACACTCAGCAGGTGAAACTCAGAGGATGCAATGCCTGACAAATGTGAGAATGTGTTCTCTGTAGCAGTAGGTAACCTTCAATTATGAAAACTCAGAGAACAGACGGAACAGGGCCTCACCTTCATGAAGTCAGTATGTCATTATCTGCAATCCAAATCTCCAGAACATTTAGTACCTCAACAAGAAAATAAAGGTTTCCGGGGCTCAAAAAATTATATGGGTTGGACCCAAGAAGTCTGATTTTTCTTCCGTAGAACACTAAAATTTTATTTCTTTTTCTGAAGGTCAATAACATCCTGGTACATGAAGTTACTTTCTGTGAAACAACTGAACATAGTCAGTGGGCACGGAGGTTCCTTGAGTGGCTAGAAGATTCCCTTGACTGCAACCAACTTAATATATGAATACCCACCCTAGTTACCTCAGCAACTTAGTTCAATAGATTTCTTGCTGGTTTCCTTTACACCTGTAAAAATCAAATGCTGTTTCACAGAGATTAAGAGCCAGACCATTGAAGACTTGCTATTTACTAGATGTGATCTTGAAGAAGTAAATAAATGGGCTTCCGTTTTCTTTAGCTGAAAATAGACATAAAAACAGTACCCTCCTTCTGAGATATAAGAACTGGATGATGTACTATAGGTAAAGTACTTATTATTAGCACTCTACACGACACAGTTTCAGCTAATACCAATGATTACTTCATGGTCTGTTTTGTACAAGCTAGGGGCTTACTAAAGTGCAGACTATTGAGCCCTACCCCCAGATTCCAGGTCTGAGAGAGAGCCTGAGTATTTGTATTTCTAAGACTTTGACCATTGAGAACCACTGAACCATTGATTCATTCATTGACGAACCTCTTCTCCCTATCCACAGCTCTTGGAGCCACTGACTTGCCTTTAGGCTGGTGTGTTAGGAAATAAAAACTTCTGTGGAAAAGATTAAACATCTAAATCCTACATCTAGCCTCTCAACCAATTCACTTAACTTTGGGAAAGTTCCTGTCACTTTCTCTTTATTTGAAGAAGAGACCAGAAATTTTTTTCGTTAGCTCTCTGGTTGTCTTATTTTATGACCTCAAAAACCACAATGGTTTTACACTCTTTAAATCCCTCTGGCCCTTGTATACCATCCATCCTGTCCAATCTGGCACTGAACTGCTCGCTACCTTGGCTACCTCTCTACTATATACTCCCATGCTTCCCCAATGAAGCTGTGAGCTCCTCAGACGCAGCAGCTGGATCTTCAGCATTTTCTATGATATTCAGTAAATAAAAGCTTTTAGATTTACCTAGACTATTTATATTAAAACAAGTGGGCCCTGTTAATATTGGCACTTGACTCCTCTCTAAGGAGACCCTTGGCAGCCAAAGTTGACATATTCCTCTATCTCAGAATAAAAAATAATTGGGTGCTAATTAGCAATTATATAATAAATATATAATAATTGGAAACTAATTAGGTTAGCTCTGTTCTAAGCATCTTACATGAATAAACTCAGTTAATCCTCATAACATATTTATATGGCAGGAGGTATTATTTACCCATTTTGCAGATGAAGAAACTAAGGCTCAGAGAAATAAACAATTTCCCCAAAAACACAAAGCTAGAAAATGGCTATGATTTAAATCTAGGCAGTCTGGCTTTAGAGCCTTGACAATGATGCTGTACTTCCTCTCAAAAAACTCAAGACACCAATACATTACAATAGAATGCCAGGAAATAGGATAAATCCTTACAGATTTCTTCTTTTTTTTTTTTTTTTTCAAAAAAAGGGAAGGACAAAAAAGGAAGAGGAGAAAAGCCCATTTAGATCACCAGATTAATCCAGCTGAGCCCAGCCTAGATTGTCTAAACCCAAAGATGTGTAAGAAATAAACATCTATTGTTCATATGAGGTTTTTGTGGTTATTTGTTACACAGCAGCCGTTAACAGATACAATACCTGATTCACTAGGAACACCTGAGAGATGAAAACGGTTAACAAAAAAACTCAGCTCAAAAATGTAGGGATGGGCTTATTAGAATCACACTGTTCTTTTCCCACCAGAAATTCTAGTAGAAACAAGTAAAATTGCTAAAGGCATTTTGAGAAACTGAAGGCTGGCTTTTAACACCTCTGTGCCCTAAGCTTACCTTCTCTGGCAGATGGCTTCTCCCACCTCACAGACTCTACTGTGTCAGAGACCACTGCTAGACAGAAAGTTGGCTCTAAAGTTTCTAAATTCAGATTAAAAGAAAGGTATCATGTACATCCCCCTATTTCCTTGAGGCAATTAAGGACTTTTTAAAATTTGCCATTTAAGGTGGCTGAGAGCAGAATTCTAAGATTATAATTCCAATAGAGTAAAAGATGTAAGCATCAAATTTCAAAGCCGACTAGACTCTTGATAAAACTACTAGCAAGTCTACATGCCTAAAAGGCATCCCAAAAGTTATAAATTAGAAATAGGGTATAAAACCCACTCTTCACTAAAAAAGGGTGGTCATGTTCTTTCAGTTTCTTACAGTTTTATTCTTATTTGCTTAAGAAAATCACTTTCTTAAATCTAGGAAGATAAGAATCTTATTTGTATGGAGACCCTTGTCTTGGGTCTAAATCAGAGGCTGCATTTGGCTGAAAATGCAAGGTCTGTAAGTTTTAAACTGAGACCCATATGCTCTCTGGTGTTTCCATGAAGTCTTCCTGCTTCAGATTCTGAATATAGTGCCACAGCAAGGTGGGGTAGTACCACGTCTGCATGAAACCACAACTACGCGGAGGAGGCCTAAACTTAAGCCAAACTTATTCCCACATTCTAACCTTTCACACCCCCTGGAACACCTCTGCCCAAGTCCAGATCCCATCATGGTCCACTCAGCAAACTCTCCACGCTGCTTTGTTACAACGAACCTATACCGAGAAATCACTTTATATAGCATCTTTGAATGCATGAATGGTGTGAGGAAGGGCTTTGAACTCTGGAGGCAAAAAAAGAAAGGTATCGTGTACATCCCCCTATTTCCTTGAGTTACCACTGCATTATTTAAAGGAAGGAAAAAGCTGGGGGAGGAGAGTTAAGTTAGTATAATCACTACTGACTGGCAAAATGAAAAGTCCTCTCCGCCTTTACTTCCACCTGCAAACCAAACAGGACAACACAGGGTGGCTAAAGGAAGCAACGACTGCTGAATGTACCATCTCCCTCGCTACAGTCGTACAGGAATGGCTACAGGAAAAGACCTAAGGTAGCCAGACTGACAAAGCCCTGTTACTCAGCAGAAGGCACACCATCAGGGCTGGTCAACCTCTTCATTAACAACTTAGAGCATTCTGTCATCTCGGTAGTGGGAAGGAGGGGTGGGGATGAAAGTAAAGACACCATAAAAATATAAATAATAAAAGACAGAGCATCTACTTACGGGCTCCACAAACTCAAACATCTTTCTCTCTTGGACTTCCTGCACCTTGAAGACATACTCCAGGGACACTTCATAGAAATGCTGCCGGACCAGGTCCACTTGACTATCTGCCTACAAAAAAAGATGGAATTTTAGAGAAAAATCAAGTCACTACCCAAAGGGAGCTTTCAGCAAGCAGGCCAGAAAAGTCTCTGGAGATGGCTTTTAAAAGCAAATCAAACAACATGAAACAGAAATAAGAGTAATGATAATGGTTGGCCAAACACTTAACTTTGTGCTAGGCACCATGCCCATAGCTATATATACATTACCCTATTCGAACTTCATTAATTTTAAATACATAATCCTCATTAAATTCCTAAAAAAAGATATTATTATCTTTACCTCTAATTTATAGGAGGAAAATGAAATCTGCTAACATTAAGGAACATGATGCAGCTGGTACAGGACAGAGCTGCAACTTCTGTCCTGGTCGCTCGGCCTCCAAGACCCTTGATCGTCTTTAAACCATTAGGCAGTACTGCCTCCGTGCACCAGGGGAGGATCTGAGTTCCACTTAAAAAGAAAACCTGCAGGGCCATCTCCAACCCATCCTCTCTAATGAACAGAACAACTATTAGAAGGCAGGAGACTTCAGAAAAGGACATTTTTACGAGTCCCAAATACTTTCTTTGTGTCATAGATGAACTGTCAGTTTACCACAAGCAGAGTAATTGCATTGTTCCTTGTGAACCTCACTTCCTCTGTGCAGGTGTGTGGCCTGGAAAGGCCCAACATGGGTACAATTAAAACACTGACCTAAGTTCTAGAACCCAGGGGAGAAAATGCATGTGTGCGTGTGTACGTGTGTGTACGTGTGTGTACGTGTGTGTATATGTGGTAACAAAATGCTGTGCTGGTCAATACTTCCACTCTCTATAATGCTCTTAACCTTTCTATAACATGGCTGTGCCAACTCATTCTTTCAAAGCATATTATTACATTGAAAGCGCATTTCAATGACAAAAGTGAATTCTTAATAAAAATTAATATTCCACTGATAGAAAACACAACACTTTTTTTCTTTAGAAATGAAGGGGTGATTCTATAACATACTTTACAAAGACAAACAAAGCCCCCAGAGGACTATGTCTTCCAGCGTTCCTTTGTCAAGGTTCCTGCAAAGAACTTGGGACGGATCTTTTCTTCCATCACACCAAACACAGTATTGCTACCAGGACATCTTGAAGACTTGGCAAATCATTCACTCATTCAAGCATTGTGAGCAAAAAGAAACTTCCTTCACGGAACTCACAGCATAGTCAGGAAAAAAGGGTATTAATCAAATAATCATGTAAGTAAACAGAAAAGCACGAACTGCGGTAAAGCACATGATGCTATGAAACGGCCCAAAAGAATTCATTCGAATCTAGTAGCAACTTCTTCCCAGGGAAACTTACACTTTAATACCCAGAAGCTAATGTGCTGAATAACTGCTGAATAAAACAAAAATACAGGGCTAAGCCTGGGGCTGTATGCTAAGCTCTGAGCAGGGGGAGTTGATACCTGAGCACTGATCGCTGTTTATTTGGAGGCAGGGTTTCAGAAAGTGCTGCACTCCCCACCCCTGCCCCTATGTTGGCTGTTTAGACAACTGGGTGGACACACCTTTTACCTGGGCTCCTGCCAGCTATGGCCCATATGATCCTGTAGCCTTTCATTCTCTTGTAGTGCAAATCCAGTACACTTACTGAGGGATGCATCTACCTTCCTGATCACCCCCACAGCCTCATATATCCTCCCTGATTGGGCTTGCCCACTGAAACTAAACTGAAAAAAAGGATCCTTCTGAAAATCTGCAAAGTGCACCTCCTGCAGTCAGGAAGGATGAAGTAGCCAGAAGAAAAGTCCTCTGAGAAAAATAGCAGAACCCAGTCAGTCAGAGAGCTGGCAGAGCAAATGCCTAGGCCGGAGTTACAATTCTATCATTTTCTAGTTGGTGAGACTGGCTCAAGTCATTTACCCTCTCTGGGTCTCCTTCCCATATCTGGACGATGGAGATGATAATATCTGCCCTTGCTCTGAGTAGAGCTGTTTCAAAGAGAAATGAGCTAAAGGATGAAAACAATTTCAAAACCACGAAGTATTCCATGCACGTTGGTTGCTATTATCATCACTGGGGACATCGGAGCTGATGGGCTTCAAGCCCTGCTCCTACCCTAAGCCAACCATGTCATCTCCTGTGGTTATACTCCTCTCCTAACCGGTCTCCTGCTTTCATTCTCTACCCATCTCCTTCCAATCCAGTGTCCACCCAGCAGACAGAACGCCTTTCCTAAAATCTAAATCAGATGTTCTTACATCCACTTTGACACTTTCCCCTGGCCTCCGCCACGGTCTGCAAGACCTGGTGTGACCTGCCTACCTGTCCTGCCTCACCTCCTCTCACCCCAACCGCTCTCACTGTGCTCCAGCCACTCTGAGCTCCTTGTTGTCCTCCAGCACTCCAAATCTTTCTTGTCATGCAGGCTTTGCATGTTATGTTCCTTCTACCTGAAAAACTCTTTCTCTAGATAAACATTCAATTTTTTTTTATCATCAATGCACAGTAAATCTTTTTGCATTATGACCTAATAAAATTACATTTATAATTAAGTGCAATACACTTTCATATTTTCCATTCTGTTCTAGCCTACTCTACTCCATTTCATGACCTAGTAATTCAGATTGTTATGACCTTTTTAGAGCAGCCTTCATTAACTATATTATTTAAGATAGGTTACCCCGGGGAGTCTCTACCTTATCTCCCTGTTTTTTTCCTTATCATTATGTGAAATTCTTACTTATTCCTCTCTTTTCTGGTGTATTGACTACTGGAATATAAAGTCGATAAGAGCAAAGACTTTGCCAAATTTTTTCACTTTTCTATCCCAGTTCCCCAAATGGTGCCTGACCCGTAGTAAACATTCACTAGATACTTGAGAAATGAATGCACTGATTTCTACATGGCCATCAAGACTCAGCACCCAGAAAAACATGTAACAGAATGCATTCTGAAGGAAAAGGAAGACGAAATCCCAAAGGGAATGGTATGTGTCTCCTACCAATGGCCCTGCCCATCTGGCCACAGAATGCCCCACATCCTTAGCTCCCCCTGCAATGGAATTGTAGCCATGATTCCAACCTACCTGGCAAGGCATTCAAGACAGTTTCTCTGCCTGTAACTTGAAAAACTAAATCTACCAGCTCATCTGAGAACTACTAACCATTCTGTGCTTCTCAGAAATGAAACATTTTCCTAGGCTGTAAGTTCATGAAAGCAGATCATTCTCTTCACTCCCCACAATACACTCAATGCCTCACTAGGCTTTCACACAAATGTCCAATGAATATTTGTTGAACGAATGAAAACTGTCTTTGAAGCAAGCTTCTGACACTGATTTTGTTTTAACTCATCCACTAGATGGCAGTGTCATTCCACATCGCTGCCGTGTAATTTCACCTTCCAGGATCTAGGGATGGGCTAGAATTTAAAAGTATTCGGTTCAGAACACCGCAATCAGGAAACAATTCTGGATAACCAAAGGAAGCAGATTTCATAATGTTCCTAAAAGTTGATTTAATAATGTTCCTAAAAGTTGTGTTTAATAATGTTCCTAAAAGCTGATTTTTTAAATAAATGTGAAGTAAATTATCACTAAGTAGCTGGAAAAACTTTAGCAAATCATTTGACCTCTACAAAGAACTCAGTTCCTTCAAAGGTAATTCCAGGAGGTTCAATCAGAGGATCACCAAGGTCCCTCCATTTAGGTCAATTCTATTTGCAGGATACTCAAGCTGAATAACAATGGCAAGTAGGCAGCAGAGCACCATCCCTCCCTCCCAAGATGGAGAGAGAAGTTGAAGAGTACACGGTGTTAAAAGCAAGGGCTCCAGAGGCAGGAGCCAGGGTTTAAATTTTCGCTGACCAGCTATGGGCAGACTATTAAACAGCTCTGAGGCTCAGTTTCCTTCTAAGTAAAATAGAGGGAATTTAAAATAGAGGGAATATATCTGTACCTCATAAGGTGGCTGTGAGGATTTAATAAGATTCCATGTAAAGTGCCCAACATAGTACCTGGTACATAAGTATGCATTAAATAGATATTTGATGCTATTATTGTTGTTAGTAAAAATACTATCATTACTGTTGTTATCATTAAATTTTTATTTAATTCCATTCAAGTACAACCAAAAACCAATGCTTGTGAACATACCAGCACTTGCAAGAAAGACCTTTAGTCTACTCCTTGCCCTCGAAGTACTTAGAAAGTTTGAATGAGTAAAAGACAAGAACACAAATGACTGTAACAAAAGAGGATAATGAAAAATGTCCACTAAGATATATACTGTCAGAGTCCATGCTACAGACTGTTTGTGCCCTCGTGAATGTTTGTGCCCTTCCCCATCAATTCATAGGCTGAAACCTAATCACCAGTGTGATGACATGTGAAGGTGGGGCCTTTGCAGTGATTAAGTCATGAGGGTGGAGCCCTCATGAATGAGATTAGTATAGTACCTTTGTAAAAGAGTCCTGGAGAGCTCCCTCACCCCTTCTGCCATGTAAGGACACAGCAAGAAAATGGCCATCTATGAACCAAGGACCAGGCCTCACCAGACGCCAAAGGTCCCAGCACCTATCTAGGACTTCCCAACCTCCAGAACTGTGAGAAATAAATGTGTTGTTTATAAGCCACCCTATATATGGTATTCTAATATAGCAGCCCAAAAAGACAGTCAGGAAGAGTTTCATCAAATTTGGAAACGGAATGGAGAACAGGCCAGTCACAGGGATAATACTCTGTATTTGTGTAGCAGCTATAATTTGCTTTCTCATACATGAAATAGGCAGGACAGAGATGAGTATTTTACAAAGGTACTAAAAGCTCAGAGAGATGAGTACTTGTCCTAGGTCACACAGGAATACATTAGAGCAGGCCTTGAAATAAGGTATCTCTTTGCTAGCCAGTGTTCTGGTTCCTACACTGTGCTCAGGAGGACATGATATTGGCATGGCCCTAAAAGAACAAGTTGAACTCACCCCAGACCAAGTCAGCAGACTTGGATAGAACAGACTGGAGAACACTCTCACTCTGAGGAATGTCATGCCTGTAGGATAAGTGTACTGTTGCCCTCCCCACCCCCCCAATATCAGCAGGTGCTAGAATAACCTTACACTTGCTCGACTCTTGAATACTTCAACTCATTTAACTGCTTAGAAATTGTAGGGCTGACCAGATCTGGCCATTGTGATCTGCAGCCAAAAAGACTTTCCTTAAATATAGTTTCGAAACCCTAGATGCCATATGATGCTAGAAGAATGATAACTAAAAAAGTGAGGGCATCAGGACAGATCCTAAATGAAATATTTACCATGAACAATTACATAACCTTGGGTATCTTCTAGTGTCTATATCCTCATGTAGAGCTGGGTATATCTAGTGTCTATATCCTCATATACAGCCCTTTATATACCACCCAATGAAAATAAGCATTTCTTTAGGCTTCTCAATCACATTTGACTAGATTTACCTGAGTAGTTCTGCTATTTCAAGAATCATCTCCTCATGCATCCTACTTCTTTTCCCTACTCAGGCACAAGATCCTCAAGGAAAGGTTAGTGTTTTCTGCATTTTACAGTACACACCAAGTTCTCAATTGCTGTTCGTTGGTTGGCCAAGAACTGATCTGCAAAGTCCACTATAAACACTAGCTGTCAAGGCTGTTGATGAGTTCTCATCATCAAACAATTGGTTTGGTCTGAGGACCACACATTCCTAACCAAGGATGTGTAACAGATCTTGACTGGGAGGGGACTGGACTCCATTATCTTCTGACCTGTATTCATCTTTCAACCGTTGACTCTACTATCTTCATATGAATTTTCATTTGACAAAAGTACTGGTCTGGTATTTGCTCAAAAAGAAAGGACATTTAAGAACAAGGGTTGCCTTGGAAGCCATAGCTGCTCTTTAGAGCATGCCTGAGAAAGGTCAAGCAAATTGTTGAGTTAAATAAAATGTGTAGCTAAATTTGCAGTTTGACTAGGAAACTGTCCTGTCTCTCAGAAATGTAAACTCCCTTGCCACGCAAATTTCCATGAACTAAAGAAAAATGGTCACCACTCCATGGCTGCAAAGCTGACTTTTCTATCCAAGTGATTTACTCTTAAAAAGACCACACGCAAATCCAAAAAGACCAGGGGCAGATCAGAGAATTTACTTTTACTTTGTTTATTTGTTTGTTTGTTTGTTTGTTTTTAAATAAAAGGTTACCAAAGCATCAACCAATAAAATACTGCTTTAAAAAAAAAAAAAAAAGACTAATGTCAAGTACTGGTTGAACTAATTTTTTTAAATTAACATGAAGGAAGGATGACCAAAGTGTTTTGGGTGCTAACATTTCAAATCACTGATATAAGTCAAAAGGTAAAGTAATAGAGTACAGAATAAATGTCGAGGGTGAGAGAAACAGGAAAACAGATCTCAGTTGGAAAGGAAGAAGCACATTCTAGTAATTAATGCTGCCCAAGAAGGAGGTGGGTGATCTTGACCAGCAGTATGCTCCTCTGCCACTGACAGGCTGGATAGCCACAAAAGATGTGGTTTGGGTGGGGATATAAAGGCAACTGGGCATCAGGCATCAGATCAAACTTCTAGTTTCTGAGGTCTCTTTCAAACCTAGGATTTTCTGGCAAAGAGTAACTAGCACATATCCACAGCACCACGTAAAAATTACACCCTTTATTCAGGATACTAGTAGTTTCTTACCTCCTGTAGCTGAGATTCTTTCTTTTTGGAAGACAAATTCAAGTGTTTTTCTAAGATGCCACAATACTTCTCTGTCTCCTTGTCATACTTCTTTTTGGCTTCCTGGGAAAGAAGAAAGGAGAAGAGAAACTGAGTAAAATGTTGCAGGAATAAAAGCAATTCTGGTCAAGATCTTTCTACTCATCTTCACAGCTTCATTATTCCCTCAGACCACTAAACAACAGCAGGCAACCCAACTCCTACCCTTCAAGTAATGTCCGTTAAATCAAGCAACCACCCACCCATCAACAGCCCGATGGCTTTGAGTGTCTGTCTATCATGGAGGCACCATCGCAATGCCAAAAATGAGATAAACACCAGTATTTCATAGTGGCAAAGCCAGGACTCCACCTTCTGAGAACTGCAGTTCCGAAATAGAAATTTCTAGCTTATAATTCACAAGGATGTTCAAAGCCATACAAAGAAGGGAAGTTACCTATGAAGATAATCTCAAAGTAGGAAGATCTACTTATAGCTTAAATGGGACAAGTCTAAACTTAAGGGAGATCCAGCTTTAATAGTGTGCAAAAAGTACTTCTTAATATAAAGACCTAAATATCCCTTGAAGCAGTAATATCGCATACAGGTCTTTAAGCTGAGGAACAATTCAAAACATAGAAGATATTATCATCACAAATAGCAAAAAAGGGAAGAAAGCAAGCCATCAGCAACATCACAGCCCAAGGATAGGGTTTGGGATAATTAAGTGTGAGATATCTAACAAATATAACTGGGAAGGCTATGTGGTCATATGGAAAAATGCTCATGATACAATATAAAGTAATAATAGCATGCTAAAAACTCAGTGTGTCCCACATAGCATGTGTCTACCTATAGACAAGGATTAGATGGAAAATACCGTTTGGGAAATTTTTATTGTCCCTTATTAACTGCTTTCAAAATGAAAAATAATATAAATATCATAATACATGTAATAGTCCCTGTTCTCTCACCACATCATGGAGTCATTGAGGTTCTATTTTTATCTCCCACTGATAGATAAGAAAAACTTAGGACCAGAGAGGGTTAACTTGTAAAAAGTCACAGAGAGTGACAGAGCTGGGATTCAGCCCAGGACAAGCTGCCCCCAAAGCCCATATCTTAGCTAATTTGAGACACACGGTCACAGGCAACTCTTTCTTCCACATTCCAATAGGGATGGATAAGCATTGGCCTGATTAACAGGAACACATTTACTGAGTTCATCACTCCTGCTTTTAAGGACTCATGTGGAGCTGACAGGGGATATTTTTCTGCAATTACAAAGCCTATAGGAGGAGAAAAATATTTGTGGCTAGAATAAGGAAGCTCAGAGACATATCTATTCATTTAACAAACATATAACGCACGACCACTGCGTTAGGCTCCTCTAGGCACTGAAATACAAGACACAGTGGTCCCTACCCTCATGGTGGGGATGTTCCAGTAGAATAAATACAATTAACCACTAAGCAAGTGAACGGCATAATTAAAGACTGCCTCAAGTGCTGTGAAGGAAATAAACAGGGTGCAGTCACAGAGATTCTGCAGATAGGGTGCTCAGGAGAGGCCTCACTGAGAAGAGGTGCTAATCTTGCAAGGTTCAGAGTTTTGTCTTCTAGAGCAGGAGAGTGGTAAGTGCATATGCTCTGGACAGAACACTCAGAGCGAAAGTAGCACAGGAATCACCAAGAAGCTGTCATCTGAAGCCCCAACAAGCTCCATTTATCTGGTGAACAACAGAGTGAGCCTCACAAAGTGGGCAGAATCATTATCCAATATTGGCTGACATGTATTCATTTCTACAAATCTGAATTTTGCTTAAAAGACTACTTACATACAATAGCAATTAAATATGCAGAAGTGAAGAAAAAGACTGAGGAGGCATTCCTCCTTCAAATTTGAGAGGTACAGGCAAGGCAATTGATTCAAGCAACTCCTTTCCTTTATAAAAACCAGCAACCTATGGCTGAGGCTCCAACTTCCAATTAATGCTCACTTAGCCACTCCACCAGCCCTGCCAGCAACCCCCAAAAAGGAGAACCTTGCGCTGGGATAGTCCAGCTGGCCGAAGGTGAGAAAAGGCCAAGGAACATGAGTCACTGGCATTCTGTGATTTTCTGGCAACTCGAGCCTCCACATTCCATGTTTAAGAGGACAGCCAAAGCAAGAGAAAGGGAAGCAGTTCTGTCCTGAGAAACAGCAGCGAGACCTTTGTGGGAATAACTCTAAGATTTACATCATGCTCTTAGGATGGGAGGCTGGTGTCACCCAGTTACTCAGAAACAGGGTGGTGTGCACTCTCCAGGTAGTCCACTGGGGGTGGCTAAGTGGAAAAAGGACAGAGTCAGGATGCTGCAAATTATTCTCAACTCTGTAGACTGACTCTAAACGAATCACTGCACCTCTCCAGGATTTGGTTCCCTCATCTATAAACTGAGGATGACCAGATAATTGCTCAGGCTTCTTCTTCTTTTAGCTCAAAGACTGTCTAATAAAATAAAGATAAGGACATCTACCTCCTCACAGGATTGTTAGGACTAAAAGAGATAAACCATATACAATGCTTAACAGAATGCCCAGCACATGCTCAGTAAATCTCAGTGAATGATGGTGGTGGTGGTGGCAGCGATGGTGCTGAAGATGATGAGGTCCATCATCCCTATCTCCTTATTAAACTCTTGCTTTCCATGTCCCATGTCCCAGGAAAGTAACCCTCCACAGCACTACCACAATTTGAGATTGTATGTTTACTTATACCTTTGTGTCTAATGTCTTCCTCCCTAGCCACACCATGAGTACAGTGACCACATCTGCACTTATTCTCCACCATGCACAGAGCATGCTCTCCTGTATCATTTTAATGAATGAACTGTGTGTACTGGATATAACAGTTAACATCAAATGACTATGTGACAAATACTGTTCTAGGCATTATATATGAGTCCACTCATTTCTTCCTCGTAGTGACTCTCTGAGGTAAGTACTATCATTATCCCTATTTAATAGCTCAGGAAACAGGCATGGAGAGGTTCAGTAACCTCTCCCAAGTTTACGTGCAAATAGCAGAAATGAGATTTGGACTCAAGCAGTCTAGCTTGAGCGCCCACTCTTAACCACTGCTCACCAATGTCTATTCTACTTTCACTTATAGAGCTTGGACTGCAGGAAAAATAATCTCCCCCCAACTCAGAACTCTAAACGTAGGACTATGGTTATGCCAAGCTCCAGGGTACTGCCCTGCTCTTCAGAAGCCATATTAGCACAAGAATGCCCAGAAGTAGGCCTCCTTGGCAGCCTTCACACACCACAATCTAACTTCTGCTTCCTGCAAGTAGCAACAGGTTGTTATAGCAACGGAAGCAGCACAGAGGGGTGAGGAGGAGGAAGGGTAATTTTAGCATCACACAAGCTGAGTTCAGAAACTAACTTAGCCACTAAAAGCCCTTGCTGGCTCTTAAGTATTCTTGAGTCTGCTCCCTACAATGCCTAGTAGAGGGTTTGTTGTTACTTTGTTTTCTCTTAAATGCATATAATACTATGACATAAATGCATGGGTGTGGGGGGTTGATGGAAAGTAACAGGTATACTGAAAAAAAACACAACAACAACAACAAATGGGGAGGAATGAACAATGATTCCCAATGTCATCACATCATTCTTCAACAGGAATGAGAGAACAGAATATATGTGAGAGGAAACATGTTTTGGTGAGCAACCACTTTCCTTAAAATTTTTCATTTTCATATTTCTCACTGTCTATAGGCCCCTCACTCACTCAACCTGGAAAAGTACCTGCTCTTGTCAGTACTATCACTGATATTAACCTAAAGAGAGCCTGACTCAGACTTCTCCTCCTTCTCTGTGATAACCTCCAAACCAGTACTGAGGGAAGAGGCCAGAGTGGGAGGCATCTGGGCTCAGACGAAGAAGTGACGACTGAAAAGACAACTCAAACAGGTCCACTCTGCCTCTGCCTCAAAGCCCTCCAGAACCTCCAGTGCTGCTGCTGTGTGTTTTCAGGAGTAGTAGGCACAGACTCAAAGCCACTAAAGACAAGTTACACATAGGGGCTGTGTAAGCAAGAACTCAGGGAGGGGCACTCACAACATTTTCTCACCCATTACTGTTTCCTCAATCTTGGACAAAATCTTAATGGAACAAGACATCCTTTAAATTATACATTCCTTGATCTCTTATACAAAGCCAATGAGCTCCAATTTCTTCATAAATGTAAACTGTAAAATTGGTAGAAAAGTGCTATAGAACTGGAAGAAAATTCTTTGCTGTGGTCTTTCCTTCAAAGTATGGCCAACCATCCCCTCTCGATAACCCCAACTATACTGAACATTATCTCTTTCATTTTCAGAAAGCAGATGTACTTAGTTGGGAGAGGATGGAAGACACCACTTCTTACTTTTTGGCTATCTTTTCCCCACCTATAAGCACCACTCAAGACCATTTCACAAGAGTAAAATCCGTATTATCTGAGTAAAAGGGTGACATTACCCAAAACCCCTGCAGGTGGCGCAAGGGGACTGAAGCTGAAGGACTCACAGTTCCAGAAAAAGAAGAAAATCTTGAAAATCCTTTTGCTTTCATTGATTGCAATGAAAACACCTTCCTTGCATGTGCCCTCTAACATTCTGCTGAAGGTCAAACTGGCTAAGGCTTCCTAGTGACTTATCACAGGGCAGGGGAACCCGGAGAAAAATGAATCTCTTTGCAGTCTTTCAGGAACACATTAGAATCAGCCAAATTTGGGCTACGGTCTGTCCAGGTCAGTGATAACAAATGGTGATCTCTGGGCTGAAGTAGTCTCACTTTTTGACCTGCAAAATGCGTAATATATGTTTTTAATTATTCATCAACATTTTTCTAAAATCAGAAGATTTCACATAAAACTCTGACTTTTCAGTTTCTCTTGAAAATTTTAAGCTCTAGCAAGAGAGGGTTCATTTTCACACACAGCAAAAATGGGTTAAGAACAGAGTCCCTATGCCCAGAGGGATCGATTTGTGATCTGTGTTCTAGGCTCCGAGTCCTGGATTTCACAGTAAATACAATCCTACATTGTCCAAGCACATAGGTACCTACCTAACAACACAAAGGAGGCATAAGTTTCTACCTTTGGATGATTTATGAACCAGCACAAAATGATTAAATAACAAAATACTACAATGACTGCTCTGGGATTGACCACTCAGTCTTACTTCAGACATTTGTGAAGAACAGATGAGCTAGGTGTACTCCAGGTTCATCTATCCGAGATTTTCGGGAAGATTTTCTAAAAGTGTGTTTTCCACACCTCTCACCCTAAAATCCAAGAACAAGGGTTGCAAAATTCTCACCTTGGCAGCCCCAATCTGCTCCTTTCGAAATTTCTCCAAAGGTGTGATGAGCACCTCACTGGCATTCTCAATCTGGTGAGGAAAAACAGAGAAGAATGGGATGGGGGTGAAGGGGCACAAAAGCAGTATCAGTAAAGAATTATAGCAGTTCTGGAACAAAATGCCTGCCAGTGTCTCAGTATAAAATTTGAGTAAGCAATATTGTACATGTGGCAACTGCTCACAAAACTTGAACTGACAGCATGTCAAATCAAAATCTAGTCATCAGTTTAAATCAATATTCTTCTTGTGCATGATTATTCTTTAAAATTAAAAATTAAGAACTCTAAAAATGTAAGCAACCATCTTAAAAGCAGAGGGAAACTGGTGATAGGGTAGAGTCTAAATTTCAAGCTTCAAATGACATTTTATAAATGCTCAGTCACTCAAGTTACATTTAAGTAGATATATTTAAAGTAGACCAACAGTGAGTCTAGATCACAAATAAACAGAAAGCATTTGGGGACATCTGGTGGCATAAAAACCTTCCAACCAGATTTTGTGTAGACCAACCAGTGCTGAACTAGGGTCAGGAGACTTGGCTGCTTCTCGACTTCATCTCACAGCCTCACCCCGTCAAGGTCCTGCACTCCAACTACACCATCACCCAAATGCACCTCAAATGTACCAAACCCACTCCACTTCCAGGCCTTTGCATTTCGCTGTTCTCTTCAGATGCTCTGTCCCCAAATCCTTATGTGGACAACTCATTACCCACTGCAGTTCAGGTTTTGGCTTAAAGGTCACCTCTTTAGGGAGGCTTTTCCAATGTAATCCACAGAAACTTCCCACTGGCCCACCAGCTGTTTTCTTCAGAAGACATAAGCCAGCTGAAGTTTCCTGGTTCACCAGTACACACGACGCATACAACACTGTCTTGTAAATGCTCACTTGTCCACCACTATCCCCAAAATACAGAAAAGTGCTGAAACAAAGGAGCACTCAAATATTTTTCAAAGATTAAATGAACGAATGAATTATTTCTTGATTGGCTGCCAATGGTGCGACCATGGGCAAAACATTTAACCTCTCTGGGATCCAATTTCCTCATCTAAAAAATGAGTGGGCTGGATTGTTCCAACTCTAAAATTCCATGGTCTTTTCGAAAGGAGTACAATACTTTACAATCTTTCCTTTTAAGTCATTCACTGCTCACTCATTGCTTAACTGATTATTTCAGGAATCTCATCGCAACAAAGCATTATTTTTCTAAATCGCATGCATATCCATCACAATGAAACAAACAGGGTAAATGCCAGAAGCCAGAGATGGACACAGAAAAGAATTAACTGGACAAAGTGAGGGATAGAAGGTGGCAAATTTCCAAATTTATTGCCATTTGCCTTTTGCTCAATTTTAAGAGCATTTATTTTAGTAGAGAGCAACACCAGAGTGTTGCAATGTTGTTTCACTTGTTTGATTTTTATTGGTATTTGACGTGGCTTAACTGGCTCACTTGTTTAAGTCTTTTCCACAAATTAAATATAAGTTTCTGAAGCTCACGATGGTAAGCTAAGCCCTTAAGTCAGCATTTCTCAGCTTTAGCTTCATGTTAACCCCACCTGGGGAGCTTTTAAATATCCCTATGTCCAGGCCACACGCCAGACCAATGTTATCAGAATCTCTGTACTTCATCTCAGGCATCACTATTTTTTAAACTCCCCAAGCTGTTCTAATGGGCATCCATTATTGAGAATCCAGCCCTAAGTAGATGCTAAATATATAAAAGCACTAACGGCTCACCTGGAAATCAGGATTCCCAATTCCTTGTCCCAGTCCTTCTACTGCTTGATATCAACCTGAATTCATAAGACCTCAGCTCTCTCATCTATCAAATGAGGAACTGCAGAAGTGAGAATCAGGTCTGTCTGTCTGGGTCTAAGAGTCTATGACTAAATTTTCCACTCAGTTCCAAGCGCTGTGCTGATATTGAAGATACGTTAGCTCATTCCCGGCCCTTCAAGAACTCATGTTTACTGTGAGACACGTGCACTGATTATTAGGACACAATGTAGTAAAATACAGAGTCAGAGGCATGAACTGTATATTAAGAAAATACAAGGATGGCCAAATATCCCAGAGTGTCAGGAAAGGCTTCCCAAAGAAGATACAGCCACTGCTAATCTGAGCTGAATTGAGGATGAAAGTATCACAGGTCAAGGAAGTAGAGAAGGGGCTTGTGATAGCCAGATACTCAGATATAGACAGTAGAAACTTGATTCACTGACATCAATAATAAAATTGCAAAGGCAAGCTGAAAAGTATAATCCAATCTCTGTTCCCTTACCATAGGCCAAAGCAATCTGCAAGGTATTCATTGTGATTTGCTCATCACACCCCTCACCCCCAAATACTGACTCGGCCAGGAATCAGACTCAAAAGAATCATTTTCCTTTCTCAAGCTCTAGGCACGTGCACAAACACACAAGCTTTCCCCTGCCTCCACCCACCAGCAACCCTGCTGCTATTGCTGCTACTACCACCTTCCCTATTCTGGTTCACAAACCTAGCAATGAGCAATCATGGAAAACAGTGTCTCTCTCTCTCTCTCTCTCTCTCTCTCTGAAGGGCGGAAGGTGAGAGGTTTCTGCTCTGTCTGGAGTTTTAAAAACATTCCCACATTCTCTGGTATAATACACACTTGGGGGGGTGGGGGGGACGGGATTGAAACCAGGCCATTCCACTTATTAATTGTGTTATCTTGGGCATGTTACCTAACCTCTATAAACCTCAGCATCTTTGTCTGGACAATGAGGATGATACAGGTACCATGAGTGTTAAAATAGAAAATGTGTGGCTAAATAATGTCTTGGTAAATGCTACGGACTTAACTGTGTGCCCCACAAATTCATATGTTGAAGCCTTAAATGGTTAAGTTAATTAAACAAGGAGGCCATTAGACAGAGGTAGCTCTACTGCATTAGTAGCCTACATGAGCAAACCAACACCTAAGCCTGTGCATGCCTCAAGTTTAAGAAATCTAAACCTAAGGACAACCAATCATACATAACAACCAGCCTTTCTCAAATAAGGCAACCACTTAAGTGATAGTCAATTAAATAATTTCCTTGCTTTGCTTCCACATCCTCTGTATAAAAGTCTTTCCCCTAAAACTAACTCCTGTCAGTGGAGCACCCCTAGTCACTTCCAGGTTGGTACTGCTCAATTCAAATGGATTTTTTACTCAAATATTCTTAAAAATTTAATATGTCTCTGTTTATATTGTAATACCCCCATGTAATAGTATTTGCGAATGGGGCCTTTTGGAAGATGATTAGGTCATGAGGGTGAAGATGCATGATGGGATAGTGTTCTTATAAGAAGGGACAGGATAGCTTCCCCGCCCTTTCCCTGCCATGTGAGGAAATGGTAAGGCGGTGCCATACGCCAGCCAGGAAGAGGGCTCTCCCCAGGAAACACCTCAGTAAGCCCCTTGATACTGGACGCTCAGTCTCCAGAACTGACAGAAATCAGTGTTTGTTGTTTAAGCTACCCGGTCTATGGTATTTTGGCAGCCCAAGCTAAGACAGGAAACTTAGTCTCAAAACTTAGTAAATAATAAGAGACAAAAAACGTTCATGAACGGACAAAGCACTACTTAGAGAGAAGGCCTTCTTGGGGCAAATCATGTGTAGCTAGCAGGGGGCTTCAAATAAGTCCTCAGTCCTGGTATCTTAGCGATATGGGGGAAGATGCAAAAGAACTTGTGGATGTGGAATTGCTTATCTGTTAATGGTGAACCACATCAGAACAAAATCTAATTCAAAAGATATCTCTTAAGAACCCAAAGATCAGCATTTGAATCCTGAATTTGCTTCTCTTTGAAGAACTTCTTAGATCTACCACTGCCTACTAAGTACCCATTTACTGGGTGCCTCCTGCGTGGCAGGTGCCGTGTTAGGTGCTTTGGAATTAAAAATGAAGGAGTGACCCTGCCGTCTAAAAGCTCTGGGATGAGTTTAATAAGGTGGGGGAGGGAGGGTTGCAGTGTGGGGCATTTTCATTCCCATTCTGCCAGTAGAGATTCTAAGGCCCCAAAGAGTTAAACAGTCCTAAAGATCCACCCAGAAGTAACATATCTTATGTATACACCTTACAGTGAATCTTTAGAAGGACAATGAAGTCATTCTCAAGTTATCCAAGTAGTATATCCTTTATCATTTACAAAAGGCTTCAAACTCTGCAAAGATGAGAAGGCTTGCTTAAGAGCCCAAACCACTCAAGTGGCTGAGCCTGTTCTTCTGACAACAAATCCCGTGCTTCCTTAACATGATCACACTGTCTGGGATCAAGAGCAGCCCAGCTGTACTCACCATCCGTATCCGCTCATCTTCAAGATTTCTGAGAACAGTGGCAAACTCCTGCAAAGACTTTGCTGGAAAAGAGAAAGGGGCCATGAGATAGAAGCTGAGTAATGAGCCTTCGGGAGCCTTTCCAGATACAGCTCTCAGGTTATAGATTCAAATCCCTTGGCACACACAGAAGCCTAAAGTCAATTGCTTCCCAAGGCTCCCCTTATCTTTTAATTATTAACCATTAAGGATGACCCAGAAATGCATGTTAATTCCACCTGGCACTCTAGCTAGGGAAGGATTTCCTTCAAGGAAAAGACCGGCCTGTTCCTGAGAGTACCCAGGACTGATGAGATGCTGGCTGGCTCCCAGGCCCCGGGCTGGAAGGGGCAGAGTTCCGCCTAAGAGTTGAAGGATTTCCTGCCCAGGATTTGACCTCCTCAACCTTTGTTGTGGGGTTGCGTCAGAACCCAACCTTTCTTTGGCACTAGAATTAAACAAACAGTGCTGCTGGCACTGGAAGCCACACCTCTGGCTTCTCCTTAGGTTCTCCTGAGTCCCCACACTGCTTATTAATGCAATACAACTTGCAGCATGGCAGTCAGACGGGAAAAGTCTCCTTCGCTAGAATTATTCCCAAAGGCAATAGGCATTAAGTGCAATAGTCCTGAGGATATCTGGGACATTTGTGTAACGTTGGGAAAAGCATCCGTATATTCAGGATGACAGAAATGACACGTTTTCACTGCTCTCGGTGCCTTTCACTGTTCTCCAAACTGCCTTTGCTCATGCCTGGATCCTTGTGCTCTGCATGGCAACAGGGACTCCTTCAATATAACTTTAATTATTTAAACATAACTTTCTCAATTGCTTGCTCACTTCATGGAGTCAACCAAGATGCCCAATGTAAGTAGAATAAAGTGCAATGAGTAGGCCCTGACAAAGAAAGGTGTCTTGACATTGCAAATCCTCTGTGCTCAGCGCTGCCTACAAAAGACAAACAGGCGATGGTAAAGAGTGAAGCAGCACAACGATGTGATAAATGGTAACTCCGCCCCCAGCCTCTTGATAAGGAAATTACAAAGAGCAGTGGGGACCACTGTGAGTTAGACACTGAGCTCCTCTCCTCATCTGTAAGCAGCTGTAGAGCTCAAGCCAATTGTTGCCAGGCCAGAATAATCATATTCTCCAATTTTCAAAGAAGCTGGAAAACTGGAACTTCATATAAATTCAATTTATATGGTAATTTAATTTTAAAAAATGAGTGCCAAAGAAAACATGGCTGCATTCTGATCTCAGTCCATAAGCGAGCATTTGCAATCTCTTATCTAATTCTTTCCTCACCTACCTGTGTTCTGCTTGTACTCTAGGTTCTTAGTACTGTGGCTGGAGCACGAACGGCACAAAAACAGCCAGAAGCAGAACACTAAAGGAAAATGGAGAGGAGAGCCCCACTGCAAATCTTCAAGCTTTCTCCTGCAGGTAAGAGGGTGAGAGACAATCCTAGAATGCTGAGAAGCCTAGAATAGTGCTGGGTGCCTGACCCTCACTAACTCTGCCTCCTCAACTGTTACTACACCCTTCTTAATTTATGACAGATCCTTCCTATCTCTGGAAAAAGACTCAGTGACGACACTGAAAATGTGATAAACAGCACAGTTATGACTTACCTATACACATTTCATCATCTGTTTCTGCATCTCCTATGCATTGAAATTTAAATTCATTTAAGGAATCTGCAAATTTTCTCTTCGCTGAAGATAAATCTAGCAAGAAAAAGAGTAAAAAGAAAAAATGAATTACTGAAATAAACCGGCTTTTATATCTGCTGCACTTCTTGGTCCTTCTACTACTAAAGCAGCTAGTAGATTTATCCTTGAGTCCATTTCAAAGCACAAAAGAATACAAACTCAAAATAGTAAATTCTTATTTATAACATGAAATACTGGTTTGCTTTAGAAGTTAATATATTTGCTACATTTGCTTTAACAATTCTGGTCCTATCTCTAATTCCTCAAGCTACACAGTGAGGGCATAGCCATTTGACACAGGTGGGAATCCACTTGCCTAATGAGGTCAGGGGGAAGGATGGATCAGAGATGACATTAGCATCTACAGCCCTGAGGGTCAGCTCTGTAACTGACCCTCCTCCATACAGTCAGTGAAGCTGCCCCCACAACAGACTCAACAATACCTTCCCCAAGTCCAACTCGCCCCACAAACTGGTATTAGGTAGAGAGCTGGAAGAAAGGGCTGGGACCTGCCCCATCCCCATGGCATAGGAGTACCTGGACTTCCTCTTCTAACTCAAGTTACGGGAGGCCTGAGTTCCCAGAACCCTCTCAGCTACCTTCACAAACAGATGAGCCGGTCAGCTTGACAAATTTCCACCTGGCCTATTTCCCTGGGTCACCACGTTCCACCACCGCCATGAAACAAAGCCCTGGCAATGCTTTGGGTTGGGGTAAAAACATACCCCACACATGGTATCTATAAAGAAAGGTCTCGGAGGCCCTTGTCAAATTTAAAAAATAAGCTTTCATTTAAGACAGTAATAAAAGTCAATGATCTTTCCATGAACCTTCAGCTTCTGTTAAGGGTATAAAACCACCAAGGTACCTTTCAGTGGCCTGACAGACACGGCTGCTCGGTACAAATGTGCTTAACTTAATTCCACGTGCAGCCTTCCTGCAGATTAGGCTAATCACTCAAATTACCCTCAACCATGTTTCCCTCATTGGAGGGGAAATGGAATTATGTTCGAATTCCCAGAGGAGGGAAATATGAGGCATAACTGGCAACAAAGCCTGGCTTTAATAAGATATTGGGAGGAGGAGTGAATGGGGGAATTCTGGCTTCACAGATCAACATAACCTACTGGAATAAAAGCATCCATGATCCTTAGCACTTCTCTTTTTTTAGTTCCCAGATTTGTCCCTTGAGGTAAGGTTATGGTTTTTTCCATCTTTTGGCTTTGTTTTTCCTCCACATACCTGGCAGTGCATCCTGCTCACTGTGCTGTTTAATACATGCATGTGAAAGGAGGGTTCTGTACACATATCCGACCTCCAGGGTTCAGCTCATCAATACGAGTGGTCATTCCAAACAATGGCTGCCGGTGAAAGAGCTAGGCTGGCCATTCTTGGGTCTGGGGCTCAAGCTACCATGGATACCAGTGGCTCCTGCTCCAGGACCATCAGACAGTGGCTCCGATGACACATCCTGAGCTAACTGTTCGCTCGTAAAAAGGCCTCTGCTCTACACTCCTCCACTCTAATAGGAACGCACCTGTAGTGGAGAAGGAGAACATGGGAGCCAACAGCCAATAGTATCCAGCCTCTCCCTGGTTCAGTCTCTTTAATGGAATGGCCTGTGGCAAAAAGTCCAAAGATGCTGGCAGGGGAATCGGGCATCTCTTAAAACTGGCTAACACAAGCTGAGGATATCCCTGAGAACACAGATCACTGCCTGACAAGTCGAGAAAGAAACAGATGCATCTGAAACTTAGAACTCTGTGCAAAGGAAGGACAGAAGAGGCCACAGGCAGGCAGGATGAAAAAAAAGGAAGAATAATCTTTCAGAGTAGAAGACAATGCCCTCCAAGATGCCCGAAGTGCAGTGCTTGGAATGTGGGCATGGTTGTACTCCCTCTCATTTTAGTCAGAATGTTCCCTTGATCACAACTCACAGAGAAAGGCCTGAACAAAGAACAAGAACAGGTTGCTTCTCTATCTACCTAAAAATCCTCCTGTGCCTCACCAGTAGAGCAAGAAAGACTCAAGCTGGACAACCTCCTCAACGAGTGGAAAAAAAGTGAAACATAAGCTAGGCTTGGGAAAGCTCCTAACACGCACCTGAAAAGCTGTACTGCCAGGGGTGGCTGCCAATGAGGATCAAGGAGTGGCTCACGCTGCACAACGGGGCCTTTGTTGGGCCTTTTCAAGGGAGGACCTATTTAGGCAGGGGCAGGGCCTGTTAACTTATGACCAGAAGGTAACCTGATTTCATTGTCCAGTGGCACACAGCACACCCCACTACAGCACAAACCTGAGAGGCAGTGTGGGCCCCACAAAGCTGATAAAGAGGCTGGTCCCCCTTATGGAAGATTAGGTAATGAGAACTGGTATGGAGTCAATACTGGGCTGTAGGCCAGTGAGGACAGCTGGGTAGAGTGAGAATCCCAGTTATTGGAATCTGAAAAGGAACTCACCATGGGCTTGAATGAGTCACGCTTAAGAGAGAAATCTTTCATTAAAGGTACAGTGGACACCCGTTGTTTTGCTTGTTCAAGATCCACTCCCCAGTCTTTGAGACAGCATCTCAAACTGCTTTGGAGAGCCTCCCTTCACTTGCACTGCATGGAGTTCTGATTATATCCTTATCAGCCCCTTCCCCAGCCCCTGACCCTCACCCCAACCTCCACTGTTTCCTGGGTTCAAGTTTCAACTCCATCATTTACCAGATATGTAACTAACCCTGGATTAGTCATAAAATCTTAATTATTTCATCTGACAGCTATCGGCCCTAACTAACCTATCAGGCTGTCAGGAGATATAGTGAGACATACTATTTAACCACTGTACTGTAAGCTTCAGTTCTAGGCAATGCTGGGCTATTCTTCCCTAATATACAAATCTTCCAGTAACAGGACTCAGGAAGAGTAATCACGACTATCTGTAATGACAGCTCAGAGAAATTAAAGGACAGACATAAAAGTGAACAGCCTCTTAGGAAGGGATCTGTGACTTGATCAAGTCCCCCAAACTGATATCCTTATAACATGTGAGCATGCATGCTGCCTCATCCCATTAAGATAAACCCCTCTCTGTCATATGAGACAATTAAGAGGACATCAAAAAAGAATGCCCAAGTCATTGCTTCTTGTTTATTTCAACCAAAAGGATTGGTGGCATCTTAGGTAGAGGATCGCCTCGGATATGCAGCTGCACAGAGACTTATTTCTGGAGCCTTCACTCTGATGTAGACAGGAATCTAACATGCACATTCCAGTAAGAGGAGAGGGGAATGAGAGGCTGGTATTGGTGCTGGGAGCATACCAAACCTCATAGCACCCTGCTCACATAATCCCACTGTTTCATGTTTAGGCAGAGCAAGACACTGCTGAGAGCCAAGCAGGGTCAATAATATTTACTTTGCAGAAACATCTGTTGCTAGAAAGGCAGAATGCTGGCCAGAGCAGAAAGAAGTCATAACTGGCAGCCTCTGGGGAGGACAAGTATCTGCTTTACAGAATAAGCAGGCTCTGCCTCTGAGTGAGGAGACCAGGTGGGGAAAGGATGTGGAAGCAGCTAGAAGTGTGGCTTTGAGAGACTGCTTCCAAAGCTATCTGCTCACTAGGGGACGAGAGGAAAGTGTCCTTCTCTTCCTGGAGATGCCCTGCTCTGCCACGGCAGATACTTATCTGCATTGAGTTTAAGAGAGTTTAAGCCAAGTATAATCCTTTTTTCAGTAAAACAGAAGGTTTATCATAATTTTCTTAAGTTAGAATCTACTTTAATTTACACAAATTTTACCAGTAAAACCACAAGTCAAGCCATTTCCTTTTTTTGTACAATATATATATACACACAGAAACACACGTATGTGGACACCCACATAATGACAGACTCAAGATAACCTTACTATTATATTCCCAGTACATCGTTTGCCTTTCTCTGACCTCCAATGTTACCAAAATTGTATATAACTACAATTTTGTATATAACTACAAAATGGCAAGGGTATATATTGTCACAGCTCCCTGGACTTAGAAATTGATTACAGTTAATAAAGACCAACTGCCAAAGTAAGTACTTGCAACAGCATTGGTTTATTGGCTACTTATTGCAAAAAAATACCCAAATCTCCAGGTCTTGCTAATCTCTGCCTCCTCTGAAGGCCAATTACACTTACTCTCTGTGCCTCATCACCTTGAGTGATTCCAGAACTATCCATGAGTGGTTTCATGTCATAATGCGTGGGTGCAGAGGACAGGGCTGGGCAAGATGACCCTCAGAACCTACTGTACTGATATGATCCAGCATGGCAATACAGGCTGGCTAACGGGTGCAGTGTCCGATGTTCCCTAGGCTGTGGGACCCATAGTGAGAGCGGAGAAGTGGGCACCAGCTCCTGAGGGACTGTGTTTCCCCATTCCCAGGTAAAAACTACATGCACAAAACCAAATTCTCCTCTTCTACCCTCTCCCACTGGAGCCAACTGAGGGCCTCTTTCAGTGTCCCCAGTTCAGTAAAGGGTACCACCATTCACCCTGCCACACAAGTCAGAGTCGGACACCCACATGTCATCCTTGACAGTACAGTCCTTCCCAAGTCTGTCCATTTTGCCACCTAAGCATCTTGATTTTGCTCACTCCTCCCCAACACTATCGGTAACCCCTAAACCAAATACCCCACTTGCCTGGGTAACTGCAGCTGCCTCCTCTCTGGTCTCCCCACATCCCCTTTTGTCCCTCCAGTCAGCTCTCTACCCAATCGTGTCAGCTCCAGCAGCGAATCCTATGATGGGTTCCCAGAGCTCTAAGAACAAAGACCAAAGTCCCTCCCAAGGCCGGAGAGGCCCTTCATGGTCTGGGCCCCCATAGTCCCCTCTATGGGCTCCAGATGCTCTGGTTTCTGCCAGTTCCTGAAATATGTCGTACTCCTACCGGCAGCCCTCAGCCCAAAAGTTCATTCCTCACTGACTTCTCTAGGCCAAATCCTATCCCATTTTCACTCCCTGAGTCCTATGCACCTCTTCTTCATGG